GGGGAAGATCCCCAGCAGGGGAATAGCTGGGTGAAATGGGACTTCCAGTCCTAGTTCTTGGAGGTATCTCCATACTGATTTCCACAGTGGTTTCACCAGTCTATACTCCCACCAGCAGTGGAGCAGGGTTTCTCTTTTGGGGTTAGGAATTTTTATGTGGTTTTGGGGATATCTTGAAGATGGGTGATCTAGGATGTATGTTTCTACTGTCAGGCTGCCCACTTAGTGGACGAAATTAGCTGGCAATCCCTCTCAATTTAGAGGCTTATTGTATTTTTAATACCTTTAGCATTTTGTGGGGGAGTGAGTTTCCTGAAAGGTATAAAAGTATTGTAACCTAGTGTAACTTTGTATCCTAAAGCTGCTGCAGTTTTCTTAAATGCACAATTTCAAATTATGGTTATCCTGGGGCCAGGGATGTAGCTTAGTGGTTCCACCACCTGCCTCGAAAGCGCAAGGACCCGAGTTCGATCCCAGGTACCAAAAAAAAAAAAAGAAAAGAAAAGAAAATTATGATTGTCCTTGTCTCCTTTCTACCTATCTTTACTTCTTCAGTCCTACCTCAGAAGCAGTTGATTTCCTTCCCCTCATCCTTTCAAACAGGTTTTCTTTTTTCTTGCCTTAGGCAAGGAATAAACCTGACTACTTTTTTGAAATGGAAAAAACTTGTAAAACATATGGAAAGTAAACAGTTGAATGCACGGGAGTCAGCTTCCTGTATATGCATGGCTGCAACAGCCAACTGAATATCAGGTGAGAATCTTATAGACTCAAAATTCTTCTTGTTCATGTGCTTGGTAGTGAAAGTCTAGCCTTCTACAAAATATTTCCATACATAGTGGAGTTTGAGAATCATTAAGTGAAACCAAAGGAAAAACAAAAAGAAAATCTATTTGCAAATGTCTAAAATCCCTAGTTGTAAAAATGGGTGGGGAGTTATGAAATTTTCCTGTTTGCTTGCAGAATATATAACATTCTAATTTAATATAAAGCCTCTACAACTTTAATATATGTTGATAGGTTTGCTTATTGTTGAAAGGATCAAAGGAGAGAATGTCCAGGGATTAATTGTAATTTAATTTTTTTACAAGTTTTTCCCTCCTTTTCTTTTCCATTCTTCAGTCTCACTGTGCATGAATTTATTCTTTTTCCTTTAATGCAATTTGGTACTTTTGAAGTACATTAAGCTCAGAATTACAGTTCTTCAATTCGGGAAAATTCTATAGCAAGCTGTTAATCCCATCAGGATTGATGTGACTTTATTTTAATAAGTTATCCTTTTTCAGCAACAACATCCAAGGCCTTGTATTTGCTGGCATGGGATGGGAGTGAGGGGTGGATGCATCACTGTGTGTGAGCAGAAGAGGAAGAGCTCTGTGTGGAACATCATGTGCAACCGAGGAGGCCATCACACCCAAGGCCTGCTCCGAGGAGGTAGGATGGGACTTCCTCATCTGTGTCACACGATCTCAGAGGTCCTGCACTCTTCAGGCAAGTCATACTCAGAATCCCAAATGTGAAGTAGCCACTCTTGCTGAAGCAGAGCTCCTCCTCACCCTCCCCTTGGGGGCAGTTCTGGAAAACCAAGAGACTCAGTCAAGTCTCCTAGAAATTCTGCTCAAGGACTGCATATCACAGTGACAGAATGCCCTGCAGAAACTGATTCAGTTGTCCTGTTTAAATAACAATTTGTTTTTGGCAGTACTGAAGATTCCTTATGCTTCCTGGTGAAAGGCTCTACCACTGAGCTACATTCCCAGCCCCTTTCATTGCATTTTCAGATAAGCCTGGCCCCAACTGTGGTCCTCCTGCCTCAGCTTCCTGAGTAACTGGGATTACAGGCATGCAACACAGCACTTAACGCAACAGCTCTTTAAAGAATCCCATCTTCTCTAGTTGAAATGTGTATTATGTTTGAGAGCTACTCTACCATTCTTCTAGATTATGCAGGCTTGATTGTGTCCTTAAAGTAGGGAGGGGTGCAGTGTTGACCTTCTCCCTAGTTTGCAGGAGATAGCTGTGTCTGAATTTTGAGGCAGGGAGGGGCCTTTAGAAAAATGGAGAAGGCCTGCAGACAATGACTTGAATTCTTTGACTTTGGGTGTGTAATATGAACTGAATGTCTTTCCATTGGACATATCCCTCAATTGCTTGATTCACTTATTTATGATACCTTCCTGGTCCCTACAGCATCTGAGTTTATGGATGCCTGGCAAACATGTAAAGCCAGTGCTGCTCCTGGATTTATCTAAGTAATGAGGCAAAAAAATCTTTTTTCCACATATCCTTATTGTCCTTTGAACCTTCTATCTTCTCTAATTTGCACTTCTGTCCTCCAACCTCACAATCAGAATTCACATCTATTGTCCCCTTTATTTGTATCTCTCTTAGGTCATGAAGGAATCTGTTTTATATTATCATTTTATACATATGCATCTAATACTCATTAACATATATCTCTAGAGTGACTTGGACAAGTGCCTAATAATTATTCTTTGACTTGTTCTCATCTTGGATCAGCTCTGCTCACCAGTGTCCAGGAAAACCTATAACTATAGTTGTAGCCTTTGATGCTATCACTGCCTACAGCTGTTCAGGGGTAGAGAGGAGAATAAACCAGTAGAAAATCACTCAAATTTGGTGATGTCTGGTCAAAAGGAACATCCTATATGAATAAGAAAGGTATAGAATATAATGGGTTCTCATTTTTAAAAAATGGGCTTCTTCCTTGTGACTGAAGACCTGGGAGAAGAAGAAGGTGAAAATTAGTGTTTGCATACAGAACACCTTGCTTCCTCCACCCTTCCAATCTTTATTATGGGCTTTGTCTGATGAGCTGCCAGTTATAGCAAGAACAAGGCCCAATCCTCCCACCTGGGTGAGGGCTCTAACTCCTCAGATCACTTGAGAACAGGCAAGGTTCACTAGCATTCAAGCTCTGAAGCAGAAAAAGGGTATCACCATCATGAATGGAGCTCCTATGTAGAATGAATACATCATGGCAAAACCACAAGCAGAGCTATGCTACATTCATTTAAATAAAGAGTGCTGACATATTTTCCCAGAGCTAGAAACGGAAATTGCATTGACGTGCTAATTGGACTCAAGACTGTATCACTTTGTCTTCTTATTCAATTCATGTATGTGTGGCCCCATATTAAAAACCATATACCTCTCTACATTTCCCTAAATATTTTAATTACTACATGTTAATCTGGATATGTGTACATTTTCTGTTACCTCCCATCTGGGTGCAATTTCCCATAGTCTTCCCATGATGATCTGCATTTTCTCCTTCAAGTCCCTCCTCCAAACCCACTTCTGTGGATCTTGCCTTCACATTATGCCATTAAATGATCCAGCTGGAAGGAAGTGCCTCTGAATGGAATCCAAGAGAAGAAACAAAGAAGATGAGAACCAGATGCCATTTAAGTCATCTTTGTGTGAGTCATCATTTTTCTCCTGGAGAGTATCTGTCTCAAATCTGTGCTTCTTTTCAATTTTAAGCCTTCCCTCAATCTCTGTATGCAGTATCCATCTTCAGAAGACCTATATATTTTGAATTTGGCAGACAGTGAACATATACACAGAACTAGCAATAACAGATAAATATTTATTAGTTAGGTTTTAGACCCAACATAAGACAGTCATTTCCACCATGAGTCATTTATCCACCCCTATTCCAGCCCTTTGCTACCATCTTTTACCAACTGCTCTCAGGATTCAAAATGAGCTGCTCTAATTTGATAAGAGTATATAGTTTAGAATTGTTGAGGATTAAAAACAGTTAAAAAGGAAACAAGACAACTCAACCTCCAGAGGTTAGAATCACTGTGTACTTCTTGTTTTTTAAATGCAAGTTAAATTGATTTCTTTTGATAGATCATATTATCCTTGAAGCGGCAATCATTTGTTCAGGTAGCCGAACAAATATACCAACAAAAACCCAGCTAATGTTATTTGCAAAACAAATATTAGAGAAGATCACTGTTTTCTTCCAGATGCTCTGAGAAAAAAATATTCCAAACTCTTCTAGAAGGTTATTCAATTAAGCCAGTGGCAAAAATGTAGTTGGCAAGATCCAATGTTATTTAGAAACTAATCCATGTACACGTGCATGCACACATAAAATATTATATATATAAACCTCCTATATTGATGCCCATCATAGAAAAGCATAGCACATATAATTATGCATAGTTCATAATGCTTAATAGTGATTATGAGCTGCATTACTGGTTTAATGTATTAACTATACTATAGTTTTATTGCTATTTGAGAATATACTATTGACCAAAAATTTTTTTATTACAAAAACACATCATAATACACTGACAACAGCCTGGTATAGCTCATATTTACCATATCTGTTGATTGCATCAGGAGGCCATGTTGAATGATTGACCATACCATCTAGGTTTGTGTAAGAACTTTCTATGTGGTTCTTGCAATGACAAAATTGCTCACAATGTATTCCCATCACTAGATGTCTGGCTTACCTCCTTCTCAATCCCAATGGTTGGAATATATTTTGCAATACAGTCATGTGACTTTCTTTGACCAGTGAGAGATTAACAAATATAACATAGCATAAGTAAACACATGTTTGTCCAGCTAGTCATGTGTTGTAGTGTCTCTGTCATTACACTGACCATGTTGAGGGTAGGATGCTGGTCCCATGAGGAAGATGAGAGACTTGTAGAGCTCAGCTAAGTTATACTAGCCCAGAAATGTGAGCAGTCAGCCAAGATCAACAGAGTCACCCAGCCAAGCCCAACCTACATCAGCTGATCCTGGCCAGATACATGAATTATATAAATGTTTATTGTTGTACACCACTAAGATTGTGTGTGTATGTTTTAATAACACAATTGAGGCCATAGTTAAATAACATGACAAGAAAGACACATGCTATATTAGTTTGTTTTGTGTTGCTATGGCAAAGTACCTGAAGCTAGATAATTTATAAAGAAAAAAAAGGTTGTTTAGCTCACAGTTCTGGAGATTCAAGAGCACAGCACCAGCTTTTGTTTGGCTCTGATGAGTGCGTCATGGTAGATGGCATCACAATGGTTGGAGTATGTCCAGAAGAAGGATTTTCAGGAGGTTCCAGGATCACTGGTAACAACCTATTCTTATAGAAGCTGGTCCAATCTCATAAGGCCTGACACGCTCTGGTGAAACATTAATCCACTCATGAGATTGAAGCCACTGTCACCTTCTCCTGGGCCCCAAATGTGGACCAGGCTTCTAACCCATGGACTTTTTGGGAATGAACAACACCAACATGATGGTACATGATTTCTTTCCCAGCAGTCTGATAAGAAGACATAGATCTAGAGCTACTATAGCTGAGGTCATTGCATAGAACTTGAGGATACAGCTTGTGGATTGATAATAGCTAAGTGGAACTGAGGCTACTCACAGAGACCTCTGAGTTCAGTGTCTGATGACACTTCTACCTCTGATCTTATTTTTATGAGCTGAAATATAACCTTTTTCCTGCTCAAATCAGATTGAGTTGTGTTTTTTTCTTTCTCCTTGCAATCAGAACAATCCTGCAACAATATCTATATAAAATATATAGGTAACCAATGAAGAACTAAATCAACAGAAATTGGAAGAGAAGAGGGATGTAGATGAAGTGTATATAAACCAGTTCCTCATCTTGCATGGCGCAGGCAACCTAATGTTTAAGGCAGAAAATCAAGAAATATAAATGCAGTCATGTTTTATAGACTTAATAGAGATGATCATGTGATGGAACTGAAACAGAAATAAAGATGGTTAGTAGCCTGTAATTACTGGGATAGAAGAATATATAGCTTATATAGATAAGTGCTATCCAATGGGCAGCCACTCCTCATAGATGGCATTCAAATTTAAATTAATCAAAATTCAGTAAATTACAATTTAAAATGCAGCCTCTTGTTCACAATAGCAGCATTTGTAGTGCTCAATAGCTAGCAATATGTGGTTACCAAACTGTACAGTGCAGATATAGAGTACTTCCACCATTGCTGAAAGTTCAGTCAGATAGCACAATAGTAAGGTGGCAAGAGTCACTGTAAAGTCAATGAATCGAGCAAATAGGAGTTTAAACTTTCATGATAGGAATATAAGGGCACAGGCACAGAAGGATCTTTCTGACAGTATTATGGGGATGGCAGCGGGAGGCTGGGGTAGGACTGGGCTGGGGGAGAGGGCCAGCTCTGACACCAACAAGTAATAGGACCTTGAGTAAGTCATTGATTTTTCAGTACTTCAAATCACTTATCTATGAAATGGCAAGATATGCACCCATCTACCCCACAGGGTGGTTGGGAGTATATAATAATGTAATAATAACCTATAGTAATAAGAGTAGTAAGTCATTATACATTTAGTGCTTCCACAATGCCTAGCATATGGTAAGCACTCAGAAATGATTATTTGTATTGTCAATCCTTCTGTAAGTTACATTCTATTTTACTGCATCCATCTAGCTTAAATAAAGTAAGTATATGGGGTTTAGACATCAACATTTATATATAATATGCAATATTTACTATTGCAATATTTTTCATGTCATATAAACATGTATACATACATATTTCAGCCCAGTTCATGGAATTATAAATACTTTCACTTTCTTCTTTGTAGATTCTCATCACTTCTAAATTTCTACACTGATTATGTATTGTCTACCACCAGGAAAAAAGTTTTTATTTCTACAGACACCAACATACTTGGAGATTAATATTGTGCTACATCTGAATCACTTATTTTTGTTGATTCGGTCCACAGGGGCCCATTATGTAATCTCTGTTATTAGCCAATCGGGGCTTTGTGACCTCTTTCCTGGACTATTACAAAATCTTGCTGGCTGGCCTCTGCCCCTAGTCCAACCCTATCCCAGCCTCCCAGTGCTGTCTCCACAGGGCTCTACATCACATTTGTATCACTTTCTTGCTTAAAACCTGTCATTGTTTTCCCAGCCTTTACAAGTTGTGTTCGGTGTTCAGCTCATAGCATGACCCACAAAAGCTTTCCCATTCTAACTCTGTCTGCCCTTCCAGTCTCCTAACCTCTCCCTACTCCTACAATGTATCCAAGTCTTTACTCATAAATCACAAGGGAGAACATTTTTCTACCCTTTCTCCATTCCAATGGGAAGTCCCATTTATTTTGCAAGAGCCCTTAACACTGCCTCAATCTCCAAAGGGAGAGCTCAGATGGTCCACTCTAACCAGCACCTCTGTTTAAGAGCCTATTCTATCAAATACCAACAAACTTGTTTACACTCCTGACTCGCCCTCAATTACGTGCTCCGTGAGGGTGTGGCATCTTTGCCTTCCTGTGTCTAGCCCAGAAACGGAACCCAAATAGTGTTCAATAAATGGTTGTTGCACAGCTGGATTCAGGAAGAAATTATTTTAAAATAACTTTTACAGTCTTACTAAAATAATAAATGTTCACTGCAGAAAAATTAGAACATTCAGATAAATTTTTTAAAAACAGACAATATAAAGCACTTATAATCCCATTTTTCAGTAACATTTGATACCATGGTATATGTCCATAAGTCTCGTCTAGAAGTTCTCAAATTTCTTGGTTCATGGGACCTTTAATGTTTCATTAATTTTTCCTATCACTTTAGAACAAAATTAATTTTGGGGGGTAGTTTATTCCAAACAATTTAATTATAGTAGTTTCCAGTGTCCAAAAGTATTATTGTGTTTCTCTAGAAAATTTAGAATGTCCAGGAAGAGGAGGGCTGTGAGTTGAATGCAGTGTCCCAGGTTGTCTTGGCACACACATTGGAAACCACTGGTCTCGACTTCCTAAAAGGATCTTTTTAGATGAAAATATTTTGTTATACTATACAGACTATCTTGTTAACCTGGTATTTTCATTTAGTAATACGTATTAAGTAACTTTTCTTTTTGGCAGCTGAATATCTAACAATAGCTAATATTTCATTAGTACCTACTATGTTCTTTTTGAAGATGGCATAATACTGTATAATTATTACTATGTTTTCATGAAGACAATGAGGCATTGAGAATTTAAGAAATATCACCAATGTCTCAGAGTTAGTAAGTGGCACAATCAGCCTGTGAATCCAGAAAATTAGAACCTAGAATTTCTACTCTTAACAACCTGACTCTTGCGCTTCTAACATTCATAACATCATTTCAATAGGAGGTCAGGACACAGTGATATTCCATTATAAAGATGTTTTATAACTTACTTAACCAGATCACAAATACTAGAGTTTTATATTGCTTCCAAGTTTTCACTATTCTTGCCGATCTTGAAATAAACATCTTTATAGTTTCATGCTTTCATGTCTATTTCAGGGGGAAAAAATTTCTAGAAGTAGAATTACTTTGTAAAAGAGTAAGATGTACAAATTCCAAGGACTTGGGTACCTATTATCCAGTTATTCTTCCAGATAGGTTGGATAAATTTCTATTCTACTCTTTATGTTTTTCTTAATTTTACAATTACTATTTTCATAATTTAAGAATCATTAATTACCAATAGATCAAGGAAAAATACTGGTTTATTATTATATTAATTTGTACTTCTTGATCTTTAATGGGATTGAGAATTTTTATCTTAATAACCAGAATTCATTTTGTATTTTAGAAAAGAGAGGCAAAGCCTCTTCAAATTGATGGCTGATACAGGGTTGGGAAAATCCCCTGCTAAGCCTCCTGTCTAGATCCCGCTCATATTCAAGCTATTGTACAACCCGTGTTCCTTGTTTTAACAATGGGAAGTAGTGTCCATTATGATACAGTCTACATCAGAAAGATGCCATTGTTTCTGCATCCTAGGTCAGAAAAAATATTATCCTTCTGACTTACTCCTAAGTGAGAAAAATATATTTTCATTTTATAAACAATTCCATAACAAATAAAGGAATTATGGAAAAGGAAATGAATAGGATTCAGAGGACCTTGAATGCAGTCTTGCTATGGCCATAGAGAAACAATTAACATCTTTCTGTTTCAACTTGTAGACAAAAGTGACTAGTTCTTCCCAAATTTTTTGCAGAAATAGTCCAAAGATACAAGAGAATGAAAATTTGTTCTTTGGGTTAGGTATCTGGCATATATTGACCCAAAGAAACCCTTTATAGTGGTGCAGTTTATCTCTCCTTTAAAATTCAAACCAAAACGGACTTCTTATTAAGCAGTTGGTGTCTTTAATAAACTCAAGTTTTATTTATTCTTTCATTCTTCTCCAATAGAATTACTACTCCAGGGAAATGTGCAGTAATTTAATATGTATCATCAAGAGCCCAAGCATACTGCTATATATTCCACTTTGAGAAACAAGGAATTCTCTTTAACATTCTTTCAACTCTGCTAAGTGTAAGGTTCTAGTGAACATGATCTGTTACCTAGTTAATATAAATATGAGGTCATAATTCAAAGACTGGTTAATTTTCCTGAAGGATCAACATGTTTCTTTCCCATCAATTTCCTTGATTTCTGATACCAAGGTGGCCCTTCTAGGCTGCCTTGACTATATCAGGCCATCACTGAGAAGCTTTACAATTCAGATCCATATGTTATAATCACTAAGAGTGATATTTTCATTTTCACCCTGAAGGTAACACCCCACTTTCTTTAAAAGCTTCCTTCTTTCTCCTCTGAATTATTCCAAAGTCAATTCAGTAATGTCATTCAGTAATAGAGAAAAACTGTTCTTGGCATAGAAGGATCCTGGGCTCAACTCCTAGATAAACCTTGGGCCAATTGCAACTTCCCTGAAACTCAGTTTCTGCATTGGCAAACAAGAATAATGGCTGATATCCTGCCTACCGGACAAGTGTGTAGTGAGGCTCATATAAACAACCCTTGGGGCTAAGGGTAGGTATTATTTAGTACCCATCCTTAATCCAAAATGAAGAAAAAATTACTTGTCCCATTACCTATGACAATCCTTTGGTTTGGAATGTGGGCTGTTGGAAACTGAGTTCCAGCTCCGAGACAGCTGAATACTCAGCTGGATGCAACTATGGAGCTGCCTGTGCAAGTTCATCAGACCCAGGTGAAGCCCTTTTGGAAACAATGGTGACCATTGTTGAGCTGGGTGGGGCAAGAAAGGGAATGTCAGTAATAACTAGTGAATCTTAGCCAAGCCCCTACATAGCAAGGAAATTTCTTCCTCCTATGAT